TAAACCTCTAAAGGGGTAGCTCTAACAGGTACCTACAGCAATGGCTGCATGCTCATACATATACATTCCGATGCCCATTGGCTCACAGTGGTTTTACCATATTGAGACAAGACAAGCTCTCCTTGCGTAGCAAGACAAAACAACTACTGTCCGTGTGCAGGGCGCTGCCCTTTGATCCTTAGGGAATAACTGGTCATACACCTCCTCACAAGGAGTATCCCTTGGGGATGTATCGGCACAGTTTTCTGGTAGCGGAGCCCGGAAAGGGCCGCCCGCCTCCTAAAGTCCGCTACAGCGGTCGGCCTCGCCGAACGCTTAACCAAGCGGATAAGAGGCAGCACAATGTCGAGCTCGCATAGCGAAGCCGACGGCAGTTCCCAATCCTTCGGGGGATATGAGAACGAAGAGACCTCCCAAGGTCCAGCCACTTATGTCGCACAGTCATTTGCAACATCTGACCGCATGCTTGCATCATTAGGCATAACGCCCAAGATCGCGCCTGCCTATGATGGCACCACCTCGTGGTTTGAGTATGAACAGTTGATTGACGAATGGTGCGACATAACAACGCTGGATGACACCAAAAGAGGTCCGTCTCTCAAGACGAGGCTCTCCGGATTGGCCGCAGTACAAAAGGAATCACTGAACCGAGAAAGGCTTGCAGCCCCAGATGGAGTAGATTACTTCAAGAAGAAGATGCGTCCATTTTTCGTGAAGGAGAACAGTACGTTTTCCTGTGGCGTTTCCTCGGCCTATTCAAGGCATGGAAGGGCAACCAAGACTTTGTGACTTGGATTGCCAAGTTTGAGATCGTGCTACAGCGCGTGAAAAACTCATGGATGGATCTCTTACCAGAGATAGCTCTGGAGGATGCCCATCCAGATTTCATGCAGGCTGTGCAGGCAGATCAAACCTTCTTGCGCCTACAGGATGCAACCGAGAGAGACACATACGCCGCACGTTTCTTCGAAACATGGAACAAGGAACGCCTTGATAATCATCGAAGAGCGTTTCCTCTAAATGATAATCTCCTAGCTCTCCTCTTCCTAGTGCAGTCCGACCTAAATGAGATGCAACGTGAGAGGTTGGTAACAGCATTGACCAACCAAGGTCACCGAATTGAGACCTACACGTACCCTGTGGTACGGAAGACCATGTTCGATCAGTTCTCAACGACCAGAACTGGTCTGCAGGATCCCAACATTCGGCACTCTTCTCACAAGAAGGACCGCCATGGAAGGAGAGACCAACGCCGCAAACGCGGAGGTCGAAACTTCCTCATCCTCGATCAGGGTGAATACGATGGAGTCGATGGATTCTGGCTCCAAGACGAAGACACCCTTGAGGAAGGCTTTCTTGCCGCCGAGGATGAAGAAGCTGTCTTCTGGACAGTTGATGACCATGAGGCCTTCGTTGCAAGGAGATTCAAAAAGGGAAGAAGACCAAGAATGCGTCCCGGATCACCGGGAAGAGCAAAGGGTGGCAAGCGAAAAGGACGTGGCCGTTTTAGGTCATACCGCGGAAAAGGGAGAGCCAACCAGGCAGAACATGATCCAACTGATTCCAGCTATTTCGGTAAAGGTAAAGGAAAGGAAAAAGGAAAAGGTGGAAAAGGCAAGGGAAAAGGAAAGGACAAAGGAGATAAAGGAAGCTCCTTCAAAGGGCACAAAGGCAAAAGGCAAAGGTAAGGATACAGCTAAGTCTGCCTCCTTACAAGGAGACCAAACTGGATCTCCACAGGCCTATGAAAGTTCCACCGCACCGAGCTGGGATTCATGGTATGAGGACAGTTATTATACTGACTCCAGTTGGAATTATGCCGCTTATGACGATCAAACGTCTTATACATACTATGCATCACAAGCCTCACGAAGAAAGACACGGAGAAAGAAGAGAAGAAATCAAGCAGGATCATCAGGTAGAGGCACAGATCCGAGCGCGCACCAAGAACCCGTGTTCAACTCATCAGTGAGTTACGTGCCCCAGGTCTTTGAACCATCCGAGGGGCAAGGTGTTGAAACTGCAACAGCGGTGTTTCCGTTGCAGCACACCGTCCTATCTGCTCTCACAGAGCGGATCAATCTTGATAAGAACCCTACCTTTGTCATACTTGACTCAGGTTGTACTAGGGCTATGGGTTCCCGCTATGCGGTGAACAGGCTTATCAAGGCCGTGAAGCAACGTGCCCCAGGCATGATTGATTTCACTTTCTCACCTTCGAACACGAAGTTCTCTTTCGCAGATAGTGAAACAGCTCTTATCAAGGAGCGTGTAACTCTATGGTTCAACACAACTCCAAGAAGAGATACAACCATCGAGGTTCTGGATCAGGGGAGAGTTCCCATTTTGTTCTCCATCGAACAGATGAGGAATCTAAGAATGACCCTCGAGTGTAGTCCCACAGCTGACCTAGCAACGTGTGAAGCTTTCGGTTTGTACAAAACCCCCCTTCCGATTAGTACCAATAACCATTTGGTATTGGACCTTCTAGGCTTCACTTCCACCAGGAAGTATCTCCCTAAATCAGGTACGTCGTTCAGTGCGACAGAGACTGCTCTAGGAGCTAGGAAGCCAAAGGAAGAAGGAAGATCTTATACTAGGATCCCGGAAGGTCGCTGTCCAGCCTGCGCAGGACAGAAAAGGGCTCATACGTACCTCAAGGGTTGCGACAAGGCACCTGAGGGAGCAGCTGATCCACCACCGAAGGGCATTCCAGGTAAGAAGAAGCCTCTTCCATCTGATCCGGCAGAATCATCTGCCAAGAAACCCGATCCACCAGAACTATCTGGTGATGCTCCTGAGCCTTCCGAACCGCCGGAACCATCATCAGGCTCTAGAGACAAACCTGCAGAATCATCTGCACCGCACGAACCTCCAGAAGAAGAAAGACTTGAGGTTCCACCTGCGAAGACAAAGACTCCAAAGGGTCTTAAAAACCTTCTGAAGAAAACCCGCAAATATGCGGTCAAACCTCCTGTTGAAGAGAAGTCTACAGTCCCAGGAGCTGAAGACGGGACGGAGGTAAGACCACTTGAGTCAAGAGAATACCCGGCTCCTGGTACAGACTCACCTACAGGTGAAGAGACTGTCGCAGAACCATCGCCATCTCTTCCCATTGCTCTTCGCAGGATTCATGAGAAGCTTAAGGACCCTGTAGAACTCTATAAGCTTCACCTTAAGCACCGTCATATGAGTACGGATCAGTTCAAGCGACGCACGAAAGCCTTACAGATCCCAAAGGAGATATATGAGCTATATGACCAACTGGTCAAAAAGTGTTCAGCCTGTCAGGAACACGTGAGAGCTCCTTCAAGAGCGAAGATTTCCGGTTTAAGATCAGAGACTTTCGGTGATCTCACCTTCGTAGATCACGGTGAGCTTCCAATTCCCGGCAAGGATAGTCGCTTAATATTTCTTATTCTCTATGACGGAGCAACAAACCTGTTGACTTCCGAAGTAGTCCAGGATAAAGAAGAGCATACTACAATGTCGATTATGAATGACTACTTTGAGAAATTTCAGATCAACCCAAAGGTTGTAGTTGGAGATCAAGCATTCATGACTCCAAAAATGGAGGCTTATTACAATCGGCAGAATATCAAGCCTGTAGCAACAGGACCTGGAACACCATGGCCCAACAGGGCCGAAGCTGCTGTAAGATTGCTGAAGCATCAGATTAAGATCATACTTCAGATCCTGAAGGATGGTGACCCGCAGTATAACGGAATCACCATGAAGTATGGCAACCTCGTTCGACAAGCATGTTTGGCAAGAAACTCTTCGATTACCTACGGAGGAGTTACTCCTTTAGAAATGGCCTTTGGTAGGCGTCCTCGAGATGTTATAACACCAGAGAACGCTG